ATCAAGACAGTTCACTCAAATAAGATAGCTGATGATTCTGAGTTTAGACTACTTGCTTCACTCACATCCATTCATTATGAAGTCAGTGAGCTGGTCTATTTCAATGCAGCCTGTGGATTCAGGCTCAGAGGTCTGCTTCATGCATTGTGCTTTCCCTTTGAGAAAAGATCTTCTACATAAAAAAAGCATTAACACTCTGTGCAATTGTTAAGTGTGTATTATATGAACTTGTGTGTACTTTGCAGTATGTCAGCAGTTGTCAAGAGAGTGTGGTCACATACTGCTAAAAGGAATTTGGAGAGATCCAAGAAGAACAAAACATTGAATTCCTATAAATCTCCTGGCAAAGAAAAAGAGATAAAAGTTGCAATAGTTATATGAGAGATCCTTGCAGTATTCCCTCACATATTAAAAACTCCACCAGGTTATATAAAATCTGAGCTCTCATGCCTCGCTGCAGCAAAGAGCTTTGAGGTTTGTTTGATGGCAAAATTTACAACACATTCCCAAGAACTGACAAAACAAAATCCTCTCTCTTTCTCTTCCTGATTCATCAGAATTATTTTTGTTCCATTGACAGTAAATTTTACAGTTTCTGGGAGACATGAGGAAACAAGTCTCACGTATTGAGCGAGCAATGCCAGATTTGCGGGGAGTAAAAAATATGTATCTGGCAGGTAGGTGGCACTGCTAAGCCTTTCATTGGAAGTTTTTGCTCATGATTTCCAAACCTGAAATCTGTCCATTACCGTAATTTCCCCTTTTTAAAGCAGGACGAGGAACCTTTTTCACTCCAGGGGTCGCTTTCCCTCTGGACAACCTTCTGGGGACCCTATGCCAGCGGTAGGCAAAGCCAGAGGCAAAAGTGGGCATAACAGTGAGTGCCTATCTTACCTATGTACAGCAGCTTAGTCCCCCTCACCTTGTACATTCCTCCCCAGCCAGGCAAGCAAAAAGCGTTATCGAAGTTCAAGGACTCATTCTGCTCAGAAAACAAACAAACACTCAAGGGTGGTGCAAAAGAGGGTGGGTGAGTTGTGTGGCAGGAGAGGAGTGTGTGGCCTGGGAAAAAGCTCCAAGGGCCAGGTAGTGAGAGCTGAAGTGCTCCATTGGCCCTCCTGGCCTGAGTTTCCCCATCTCTGCTTTATAGCCACAAACATAATTCTGAACATGGTGGAAAGGCTCCCCACCACCCGTCCCAATTCCAAGGAGATTTGGAGCAGAGGCCACAGGCAGGGAAGAGGTAAGCATCCCTCCCTGCTTCTGTTCCTCTGCTCCAAACCCCCAACCTCGCCTCCCTCCTCAGCTACTTTTCTTTTTAAAAGGGTCCTCTTTGACAATTTGTGTTGTTCATCCCCTGGGTTTTTATTTTAAATCAACTACTTTGTCAAAGGTCAGGTATAGCAGGTTTGCTAGATGCCCCCTGTCAATGTGCTGTTTCTCACAATTCTGACATGCAGAGGGACCCTCCAGTAAAACATGCTGTTGACCTATGTTAACAGCCTGAGGTATAAAAGCATGCCCAGCTCTTTTTTGTGCTCTTGCCAGAAAAGCCAGGCACATTGCTGCAGCCACTATCACATTTTTAGGCTGGTGGGCAGACCGTGCATATTATGCAAATGGACAGCTTTTACATCAGAGTCCACCCCCAGGTCCACCAAAATTGCTGGGCTCCATCTTCTGAATTAAACAGCTACCTTTGAAGGTGACTCGTAAACCACAACTAATCCAGAATGCAGCAGCTAGACTGGTGGCTGGGAGTGGCTGCCAGGACCATATTGTTAGGATATTTCCGTTCCACCTTAAAAGGGAGCAGGTTGTTGTGTCACAGCCTGCGTATTTCCTGTTCACAGGAAGTTTATGTTTTGTATATGCTTTCGTTTTCTCTCCGTGCCTGAGACATCAAAGCAGGCAGTCATGTTTTTCTTTGTTCTGACCAGTGCTGAATAAAGTTGTAAATAATGCTCTCCTGAGTGCATCTTTCGTTGTACGAACTCTGCTGAAAGAGCGTGCACCAGCCTTGGAATGTGGCATGTTATTTCTGAGCTCGTGTCGCTAATTGACTGATACTGCGTATCTACGGGAGGTTGATGGATCGCAACGGAGACGGCACGGGGGCATGATGGCCTTTGTCTCCCTGGCAGTATCCCAACAACAGGTTTCGGGCCCAGATTCACGGCACTTACAGGAGAGTAAGACTGCGACAGACTGCGTTGAGGTATGTGGGAAAAGCGAAAGTAAGGCTTTTCTGTTGCCGCGGCAGAGAGACTTTGATGTCCGGCTGGCTAATTGGCCTGGAAGCCGCGCCAGAGGCTTCAAGATTTATGGGTGCCAAGATAAGGAGTCTCTGAAGTGAATAAGACTCACGGCTCAAGTAAAAACCTGGGATGGAGTTTTTACAAGCCTCAGATGATGGCACTCAGTGCCCAAAGTTAAACAGGCACAATTATGAGACTTGGGCAAGTTGCTGTGAGAGCTTGCTGCGACAGTTTGGAGTGTGGCATACTGTGTGGAGGTGAGAACCGACCACCGGAACCTGGAGTACCTCCAGGCCACCCGCAAGCTGAACCAAAGGCAGATCCTGTGGGAGTTGTTCTTTTCCCGGTTCCAGTTCTGGATCCACTACATCCCTAGCTCCCAAAACCAGAAGGCGGATGCCCTGTCCTGGAAACCTGAAGACACGCAGACACGGTACAGCAAGCAGTACCCACCACTGGACTGCAGAGGCTCAGGGCAGAGAGGCGAAGGGAACTGGTTTCTCCCAGGAGGAGTGCTTGCCTTAAGGCCAGGAGAGGTGGGTCTCCTGGGGGCCAGGACCGCCCCTGGCCTCAGAGAAGATAAAGGCCAGTCAGCCTGGTCCCAGGTTGCGGGAGCAACGTCATTGAAGAGCTGTTTCGGCCAGAATCCAGTCCTGTTCCCCCAGAGTTCCTGTCCTTGCCCGGCTTCTCGCTGTGGACCCCACTTCGCCTGAGGAGGACTGTCTGCCGACCCTCAACTCAGGTCCTGGACCTTGCCCCACGGTAACCGCCCCCCTGGACCAGCACAGTCTCCCTGGCAGTATCCCAACACATATACCACTGGTCATAAAGGATCTTCATTGACTCCCAGTATGTTTCTGAGCACAATTCAAAGTTTTGGTGCTGACCTGTAAAGCTCCAAATGACCTTGGCCCTATATAACTGAAGGAGCGTCTCCACCCCCATCGTTCTGCCCGGACACTGAGGTCTAGCGCCGAGGGCCTTCTGGCGATTCCCTCACTGTGAGAGGTAATATTACAGGGAACCAGGCAGAGGGCCTTCTCAGTAGTGGTCCCACCCTGTGGAACGCCCTCCTATCAGATGTCAAGGAGATAAAGAATTACATAACTTTTAGAAGACACCTGAAAGCAGCCCTGTATCGGGAGATTTTTAATGTTTATATTTTTATTATGTTTTTAGATATGCTGCAAGCCGCCCAGCCAGATGGGCGGGCTAAAAATCAAATCAAATCAAATCAAATCTATTATTGTTGTTATTGTTATTATTATCAGCCTTTTTAAAAATTTCAAGAGCTGACAGTCATACTAGAAACTGTCATTCTTCTTCAGAGATTAGTCATTATGGTTCATTATTATCATTATGCAGAGACCTTTTGAAAACTGTTTCTGTATGACAATTTACCCAACCACCACCATAGCACATAGCACCCTTCTCCATTTTCTAGTTCCTCCTCAGCCTATCACGATGTCCATGCTTATCTATAGAATGAGATTACATTCTCACTACAGCCAACCAAAGAAAACTAATAAATCTTTAATAAAAATATATTATTATTATTTTTAAAAAGAATGAGATTACATGGTAGGAGTGGTCCATGAACTCCATCTCTTCTGGTCTATTGCTTCAATAGCGGCTCAGTTTCTAATACTGTATCTCTAATGCAAAATTGGCAGGGTCATGGGTATCTGGTTGTCGGGTTGCAGAAGCAGAAAGGAAGAAACCAGGCTACAAGCTGTATCTGCCCTCAAACCGCACACTGAACAACTGGCCTCTGGGGTGAAAGCCTTGTGCCCATTCAGCAGGGTAAGAGTTCCATTCTTCACATCTTCAGAAGTTTTTTATTAATCATATTTGAAATTTAAACACATCCCACACATTCCAAAGTGTATGGGATACTTTGTTCACACACCTTGTGTGCTCTTCATATGGTGCTTGTTAAATTGCTATTTGGATATTTTAGTAGAATTTTTTTATCTTTGAAAATAGCATCCCATTGACACCAGCATCCCCATTCTACCCCCAAAAGGCCTTCACACTCTACCATCCAAAAGTATCTGGGTGCAAAGTGTATGTCATCCTATCATGAAACATTAAAAGGTAAAATGCCACTTAACATTTAAGCAAAATACCTTCTCTGTTGGTTGTTTCTTTCTCTCTTTCTTTCCCCCTACTGTTTTTGAATAGAAATACATTGAAGACCAAAGTGAAGACTTGATAAATAGAAGCCAGACACTGTTGAATCCTGAAAGCTAACATTTATTAAATATTCAAAACGTTTGTCAAATGCACTTTTATCAGATGTTTTGGAAGCCACAAACTATGTTGAAAATGCAAGATGACTCCATATTGAATACTGTCAACGGAAGAAATATCCCCAGGGCATAAATATGACATTTATAGGCTAACAGGGCAATAAATGCCTTGGAGTGTAATGACCATACCGAAAAGAACAAAGTCCTTCCTTTTTGTCACTTCCTCCCAAGCCACAGTTATTTCCTGCCCTAGATGTGGACAGATAATCCTATAGGTACAGTCACGCATCTCCAAGTACTTCTGGATTCACACCACATTTATAGTCAAGAGTCTTTCAGGGAAATTGAAGTCCCTGCATAGTAAGCCCCCTATCGAACCATCTTGAGAAGACTGAGATGGTGCACCCGATGCAACAACCGTCAAGCAATCTTTGAGCTACCTTGAGTCATAATTCTCTACATCCAGCTTCATAAGAAAGCAGGTCCTGGCTCAGGTGAAGACACAGTAGATAACTGTATGGGGTGCAGAAGGTTGCCTTGTCTTCCTTGCATTTGCCACTGGCTGATCAAACATTGGGCTCCACACATCTCTCTTGGGAAGAACCTTGGCCAAACAGAGACTTTGACAGCAGGGCAGCATAGGACAGGGTGATTTATCACATGGTGGGTTCAGATTCCTACAAGGGGAACAGCAATGAAAATAGTTCAGACTGACAATTAGAAGATACTTTTAAATATTTCCCCAATGATCCCCCAATGTTCCCATTTTTAGAATCTGCTTCCTTGTTCCAAGTACACAGCAGGCTATGTGATGGTGCTAGACATGTTGATGGCTACAAAAAACCCAAAGCAGAACAGATCAAAAGAATGTATATTCTGAGAGGAAATACAGGGTTCATTTCTCCAATTACTCAGTTACGTTCTTCTATGATAAACAATTTAGTGCTGGAAAATGAGTAACTACTAGTGTAGCTTACAAATGGAGAGATGTCAGAAATCAGTTTCGATTTACTATCTGGAAGTGACCTATGAAGAATGTGTATAAGCCACAGATTATAGTGCTGTTTGAGACAGAATGGCATGCAGTAAATCTAAGCCATGTATTATAAGGATAAAAGCATTTAACTACCTATTCATCTACTGTACAGCTGTGGAAGTGAGACGATGTGAATGCTGCCGTCGGGGATGATGATCCAAAGGCACATTTACAGTGCATTCCTACACAGCTCTGATCAGAGGTCCCCCTGAGTTCAATGGGACTTACTATCAGGTCTGTGTGAATAGGACGGTGGCTTTAAATGGTCAAATCCCAGAATTATCAGAGCTGCTCTAGATTGTTGTTGTTTTTTTTAAAAACAAAACCTGAGACCTGCCCATTAAACCAAATATAATGCATAAAATGGAGATGGGCAAGGGGAACAAGTTCCAGTGTGAGGCTGTACCAGAAAGAAGACCATGGCAATGGGAAGACCAGACTGGCCACAGACATAGGCCAGGGAACAAGCAGCTGTAGGAAGCTTGCTTCCCTCTTCCTGGCTGAAGAACTCTGCTCCAACTGCCAGTTGTCTTGCAACAGATGTGTGGAGAAGAACAATTGTCTTGGAGACCACTTGATCAAAAGGCAAATGTGCCTTTAAGAGTAGCAGCTGGATGTATTTTGAAACCACAGGAGAAAAACGACAAAAGGGAAATGATACTGTATATGATGAAGAAGAAAGCCTCACAGATGCAATGAGCTGTATGTGGTCTGCAGCAAATATTTCAGTAGAGGAAATGAAACATTAAGAAAAAGGAAACCAAGAAGAAGAGGTAGATGCCTGAAAAGCCCCCCACCCCCAACTTTCATTGCTACACGTGGGGAGGGGAAAACTAGAAGCAAAAATATTCATTTCAATGGCTCAGTATGTCTTGTCTGTTAATTGGAAGGTTGGTGGTTCAGTCCCACCCATGGACAGTTGTGGGCAGGATTCCTGAATTGCAGGGGGCTGGACTAGATGGTCCTCAGGGACCCTTCCAACTCTACAGTTTTTATGATTCTAGGAGCAATATGCATGCCCCTTTAAAAGAGCCAAACTACAGTGTGACATGTAGCATGATCCTTCCCATTCCTTCCCTAACGTATGCAATTTAAACACCCCCCATTGGATTGACCTCTGTTTCTGTGGGAATGACTTGGTTTATTTCCAGTTCAGGCCAAATTTGGCCAGGGATGCATACTTTTAAAGTCCCCAACCCCTGCCCCTTTCCCTTTAAACTACATTTAAAAGGGCCCAACCTCCCTCCTTCTCACCATGTCTGGAATCCGTAAATGCCAGTTAAAGGGAACTGGGGATGGGGCAGTTGAGAAGTGAGTTGCTGCTTGGGCAGGAGAGAGTATGTAAGCAAGTAATTCTTTTCTGCCTCATATTTTAAACCGAGCCAGGAAGAATTCAGGGATGTGATGTCTGCCTCTTCTCAGAGCTGAGCATTATGAGCCTCCAAAGTTCACTTACAGGGGAGTTTTGCTGGCATCCCTACAGGCCTGGTGCTTGCCATCCTTGCTAACACAAGGGAAATGTCATGCATACACAACTATAGCTTGAATTTTAGCTGAGGTTCTCTGGCTGATGGGTTTGTAACAGACAGAGACATCTTTGCAGGGCAAGTTCAAACTAGTTTGCAGCCTCTCTCTGAGAGTGATTTACCACAAAGCTTCTGACTCGAAGACGCTCACGTGGAGTTGTCATCTGGATAAAACAGCACATTCACATGGAAGCTGTGCATATATCAGGATTCCCACAAGTGTGGTACCCCTTGATCAGCCACCACAGTTGCAGAAATGGCAGCAGGGTGAGCACAGCCCTCATGTAGTTGCTCTGGAGCATCTTGATCAGTCCCTTTGCATGGGTTGTCCCACAGAGGCATTTAACATTCTTGTGGCACTGGGTTATCAAAGTGCTCTTGTGGAGGCCACCAGCTCATATGAATTTCCTGTAGGCCAAAATGCAACAGTGGCCTGCTCAAACTGTTTGAAGGGTTTACTTTCAATTTTCAACTCCATTTGCCTGCTTTTCTATAAAGGGTTTAGGCTGCATAGTAACATGAACATATGTGTTAGACAGATGTTGTACTATTAAGCTAATTTCTTCTGTTTCCCCGTCAATGGGATAGATCCACTGATGTGAAGCAAAATGTATCTGTAATCTTTCTTCCCAGGGGTCAACAACCTGGAAAGACCTTGAGAGCAATCTAGAGTCAGATGTCAGCCGAACTACTTGAGAAGTTCTCATCTGATCATTTTGCCAACATGAAAGGTTTTAATAAGAAAAGAAAGTTAATGCTCCGAGTGAGAGATCTGAGCAGGCCTCAGGGATGAGGTTTGTCAGTGACATGCTCAATTACATGTCTATCAGTCAGCCTGGTCAAGCACAAAAGCTCTTCCCTTTCCTCTTTCAGCCAGGTCTGGCCCTCATCTTTATTCAAAAGGCACCACTCAAGTGCCCCTGCCATCCTGCTGCTTTTAGGCTTCTGTGATGGATGCACTCAAGGGTCACTGACTGTCACATCACTACCACGGGGCTAAGAGACACTTGCGGCGAAATCTCATTTCAAACCTGAAGAGGTGAGTTGATTGCACTTCCTAGCTTGTAAATCCACCAGGAGCAGCTGCTTGTGGGCAGTGCTACTTCAAGTCTCCATCCGGCTGTTTGCCTGTGATCTTGGGCAAGGTTATAAGTGCGCTGTGTGGAGCCAGCACAACAATTGTATCTGCCTTTTGGCAGTCAGGTGACCTCTAGGTTTTTCCCCCTTCTTGTGACACAGTCAATAAAGCTGAGACATGTTATCAGCAAGAGAGGGTCGTGGGACGGTATGCAGAGGTGATTCTGTCCTTACTTTGCTAAGCCCTGCCCAGGTTTTCCAGACTCATGGCAAATAATCTCAAAATCTGACTTTCCATGTATGACTCAGGGCTTATCCATGCTTACCCTTCCACCTCCACACTTTCCAGCCACTTTAAAGCTCTGAGACCAAGCTCCCTGCCTTTTTCATTCAAGAGCTTTCCCTGTGAAAACCCACTCTTTAAAGCTGGGTTGGAGCAAGCGGCAATCCATGAAAAACCCAAATTACTGTTTGATGCCCTTCAGCTTGAAAGAGTGGGCTTTCATGGGGAAAACTCTGGGGCAAAGGGGGGGAAAAAGAGTGTTCCAACGTGGAGCTTTAAAGTGAGGACCTGTGTCTGGAAAATGTGGGGCAAAAGGGACATGTGGATTAGACTCACTTTCCATCATCACTGTGGATCAAAAACATGTAAGGGGGGGGTTAAATAACAATGCAATGCCTGCCCCACTAGGAATGCTTGTTGAAAATGGAAGTCATTTGCATAGCTGAAATGGGTTTGTGGAAAAAGTATGTAAACGATGGAATCTTCAAAAAGGCAGCTACTGACATGCAGCCACCTCTGGGACACCCATAAGAACTGGCAGAAATAATAATAAAAAAGAACAGTAACACTTGGAAAGGCAACTGTGAAGTCAACAAAAAGCAGTTGCTAAGGTGGAAATTTCACAGTATGGTTTCTTCCTTGCTAACAGTAGGCATAGAAGGCATTAGAGCAGGCATAGGCAAACTCCGGCCCTCCAGATGTTTGGGACTACAATTCCCATAATCCCTGAGCACTGGTCCTGTTAGCTAGGGATGATGGGAATTGTAGTCCCAAACATCTGGAGGGCCGGAGTTTGCCTATGCCTGCATTAGAGCTTGCTCCTGCAGGACTTTCCCCTCTCCCCACAGGGTCATCTACCGTTAGCTGCCCTGTGTGGGGTGGAATCCCCTGGTGACTTTTGATATTTGGATATGGTTTGTTTATTGATTTTAAATTGGACTTGCAAACTGCCTTGAAATTATTTCAAAGGCAAGACAAAAGCATACGTGTGACTGTTTCAGCATATTTATACATGTGTTTACATATACCTGCCTTGCAATGAGCAGGATATCTTGCAAACTAAAAGCCCCACAAGGACTATCACATGTAGGGGAAGCACATCCAAATGAGAGAGTGGGTCTTTCTCACTAAGTTACATGCTGTGCTGTTCTATCACATCCTGTACATGCTGAAGCAGAGTGATAAAATTTCTCCTTGGCAATGTGACCTGTGATAGGCTTTCTATTATCTCACTCTTTGCTTTGCAGAGAAAGTACAGAGAATGTGACGACGGCGGTGACACTGCCTGTTCAAGCATCTTAACAATTTTGTGTCAGTTCTGCCCTTGCTCTCAAATCCTTACATGTTTTAGCCTGCATCTTAGGGGTGCTTCCTTATGATGTACTGTCATTTGTGACAGGAAAATATACATTTTTTAAAAAGTAACTTGCTTCAAAATCCGTTAGTGGGTGAGACTTGCCAGTCAATGGGCTTATCCACACTTCTGCTTGCCCTGTGCTAAGAAATCCCGGGATAAGCGGTTTCCCTATCACCCTGCTTTTTCCCCAAGGAATACCTCTTTAGCTCTAAATCGGAACAAACGGCAACCTGCAGAAAACCTGAATTTCCCTTTGCTCTGATTGAGTGCAAAAGAGCAGTTCCCCCTGGGGAAGCAGCGGGACAAGAGGAACTGTAGGTAAGCCCAACAAAAGCAGAGTCCTCATTTTGTTTAGTCGGTACTACAGGGCAGAACTATATGTTATTTATTTCCGCAATTGTTTGTTCCGATGACAAATATGTTATGAATGCAACAGCAAGGGGTGCTTGCATGGGCAGGCTGCTCTCTCCATCTCCTGCTCAAGATGTGTTTGTTTCTGGTTGGGAAAAACTCATTTTACAGTGTTGGAAAGAACTGGGGACTGATGCAGAAAGGGTTAAGCACTCATGACCATCCAGCCTTTCAAATTCCTTCTGCACCCCTCATTCTCCCACCATTATGATGGAAACATGGGCCTAGTGCTCCCCTTAGGGCAGTGGTTCTCAACCTGTGGGTCCCCGATGTTGTTGGACTACAACTCCAATCATCCCTAGCTCTGGCCTTGCTAGCTAGGGGTGATGGGAGTTGTAGTCCAACAACATCTGGGGACCCACAGGTTGAGAACTGCTGCCTTAGGGGCATAGCAACATTCTTTCTCCTCATGAAGACATATGTGATGCTGTTTTCATTTTATTAGTATCAGAAACTTGGAGAAAATGGTCATATCTCCCTTGTCCTGTGAGAAATGAGTAAGCAGCTGACTGAATATTACTGGAACCTAGGGGAAGTTCCTGAAGGTTATTTGGGGGAAAATCCAAAGGGAGCCCAGAATGTGACGCAAGAGAAATACTGGGGGCCTATTCCAGTAACTCAGCCAGACAGTTATTTGTAGAGATGGACAGTGGGCCATTCTTAAGAAATCAACCTTAGTCATTCCTACTCAAGCACTAATGACAATACTAGGCCTGTCTGCCTTCAACTCTTCTCTCAGGCCTCGTCTCAAGATCCCTCTTCCTACCCACAGACCCTTCCACAACTCAGATCTGCAACCATGTTGATTTAGTTCTATCTTTGTAAACTACTTTGAGATTTAGCTATCATGATAAGTGGTAGAAGGCATATACTTTAATGCCAACTATGTTGTGGGGATGCTGCAGAAAGCCTGCACCGATCTCATGACAAACACTCACTGGAAGCAGCTACAGGGACAGGAAAAGTGGGACGGTATTGTATCGGCCTGAACTGGAAAGAAATGGGGTGGCCCCATTCCTGCCTGCGAGCCAATCTGGGGTATTTTCTCAACAGAGGTTCTGCACCTTTTAGCAGCTGTGCAATGGACAGAGATCGCATAAGCTGTGCCGTTTTTCCCTAGCATGGAGATGCCTGGCAGCTGTTTATAAACGGAAGGAATGTCTCTCTGGGGAAAAGACGCAACACTACCTAATCCAGGGATTCCTGTTGGCCGTAGAAGGAAGGAGATTCAATTGGGCTATGCAGAACAGCTTTATCTCTTTCTAGATGTGACACCCCTTGTACTCACCCAAGTGCCCCCGATTTTAAGCTTCCCTCAGCGGAAAATCTAACTTTGTCCTTCTGTCCTCAATGGTTTTTTTGGAAGAGGACAGTGAGAGCTATGTCACAGTGACCACTGTTAAAGGCCTGGCCTGGCCTGTGTGCACTTTAGGGAAAAGGCCCAGAGCTGAAAAGGTTAAAGAGAGAGAGAGAAAGAGAAAGAAAGATTTGTCAGTGACACAAGACAACAATATGCTGAGAATTATATATATATATATATGCGCGATTCAGACTATTATTATCCTGTTACTTGGCTGCACGATAACACATTGTGTTCCATGTGCTCTGGTTTATGTTATGCTCCAGTTCCGAGATGAACAGGCAAGGAAAACCAGAATTACAATTCAAAGCAGTCTCATTTGTGACCGGTAATGCAGTTACTTCTGCAGGGAAAATGAGCATATTTCTCCTCATATTTGACAGGTCCAAGCAGCAACCTGCAGATCACCTCCAAGATCAATGTAAACATGAAAGGGACAAGACCCAGCTGAGGTCTTGCTGAATTATAGAAATGGGTTGGGTCTTGGGATCGAAAGCACAGCTTGGTTGGACGTGGCTGGTAGGACTTAACCCCCACATCCCCACTTCCCCCCCTCAAGCTGCTATGCTCCAACCACTTTTTCTCCCACCAGTTGTCATGTCTGGTTTTGGAGCTTGGCTGGGGGTGGGAGGAAACAACTGTGAGCAGTTGTTATTGGGGAACATGTATAACCAGAGGGATGGTTCAGCTCCCTACCACCACCCCCCACACTGATGCTAGCTTATTGTTTTAAATTTAGATTCCCATCAGTCTGCTTCTGTCACATGTAGTTCCTTGTCAATTGGTAAGGGAATGTGCAGTTGGTCTGTCTAAAGTAGTAGTACTCAAACTTTCCCACCCAGTGTCCACTTGAAAACTACTGAAGGTTGGTGGACAACTTAATGATTTTTCTATCTGCTGTAGCAATCATAATGTGCTGTGTTGGGTGCTGTATTATTTTGAGTTGTGATCTTACAGGCTTGCCATGGAACACCTGGATGCAACTTCTCAACAGACCACAGTTTGGAAACCTCTGGTCTAAAGTAAAAACAATACTGAAAAAGGGTGTGGAACTTTCTGGTGGAAAAAAGGTTCAAAATCTGATCTGAAATTCACCTCAGACAGGAGTCTAGTTTTGCTTCTTCGTATAATACAGATTAGTATATTTGACTTCAAAATATACCATCTCAAGAAGAATAAATATAAGCACAGATCAGAATGCCTTTTGGAACAAAGCAAGAATGTGCATTTCTTGTTTTACTCTAGGATCTCAGTGTTTATATTCTCAAGATTACTCACCCTATAACTTTAATCATTAGGGTGGTCATATGTTGTATATTACAGAGGACAGTCCTCTGCTTGAATGCATCCTCTATCTGAAAGGCTGGGCCGTCGAAGAACCCTAAGAAAGAAGAGCAGGAGGGGCCTTGAAGTTGCCCCTCATCAGTTAGTCAGTTGGTCACAATCTTCCCTACCGTTGTATTTCTCTTTAAATTATAATACTCATTCTTCAATTCATAGCTATACATATAAATGAGCATATGCATTTTAATGCAAATATATGCCCTCATTTGTCCTCTTTTTTGCAATATGTAAGTGGCCACCCTGTTCATAATACCCTATGCATATCCTCCAACACAACATGGCCCAAATCCAGGGTACCATCTTCCTGGTCCAAAATCCCACATGAGTCACATGATGCATGTGAGATCATGGACCTGAAAAAAGAGCTATTTGGGTGTACAGTGCCCAAAAAACGTGTTTGGGGGCCCTGTGTGAGATCGCTTTTTGGGGGGCCCAAAATTGAACAAAAGCAAGATGCCCAATATGGCTGTATTTTTGCAGGGGGAATTGGGATGTCCTGGTTTTTCTGGGACAGTTGACAGGCATGCCTATGCTGAGGTGAGTACCTCCAATTAATTATGTTGCTCAGCATATTTCCCCCCCTTCAAACAGGTTCAAACAGGTTCATTCAATGAGACAAAGAATGAGTGTTGGTGCCATATACACAGGGTAGCCTTGCCAGGGTCACCCCAGGAAGAGTGTGTGTGACACCTCCAGCCTTGGCTCATGCGGACTTGCTATCTGTGTGAACTGAATGCTACATGAGTAGCATTAATGTGGCTGCTGAGATTTCTGTGATGCTCCTTTGAGATGCTGCCATCACGGAAATGGTAGTGGTTGTGTATTTATTTGGAAGACCGATACCTCACCTTTTGGGGACAAGAGTCCCCAGGTCAGCTTGCAGCATAATGAAAAACAAATGCATAGGAAATCACAATAATATCACAGTAAAACATACAAAAGAACTGAGAATTTAAAAAAACAGAGCAATGCTAAAAACTAGTTGTAGCAGCAGGGTGCAATGCAAAAGCCCGGTGAAAAAGAGGTATGTCGTGAACATTTGCCCAAAGGCTAAAAGAAAGAGAACCAAATTGGTGTCCCAGGTAAAAGCACTCTACAGTCTTGGTGGAATGAGAAGGCCCTTGCTGAGAAGACCCTGTACTGTGTCTCAGTTGACAGAGCCTTTGAACACAAAGATGACAAGGCTGACAGACTTAGAATTATAGAGTTGGAAGGGACCCAAGGGTTATCTAGTCCAACCAGGAATCACAACCAAGGAATCCCTGACTGATGACCATCCAACCTTTGCTTAGGAACCTCCAATGAAGAAGAGTCCACCAAAAAGGCCATTCATATAACCAACCATTTAGAGCTCTACAGTCACCAGCAATTGAAATTGCATTTGGAAACAAACTAGAAGCCAGTGTAGCTCACATAACTCCAGAGTAACATGCTCTATGAAGCAGATCCCAGCCAACCTAAAAACTACATGGAAGCATTGGCTTTTACACTTACATGTGACTGGGGCCTGGCTGCAAGTCGTGTGGCAGCATTTCAGGTATCAAAGACAAGGTGACTCCATTGTAGAGAATGGAGAGCTCTGAACTGGATTGCCTAAGTATGTTGCAGGGAACATTCAGACAAAGTAAATGCTATTTTATTTTCGACAATAAAGCCTGTCCATGGTCTAATTTCTGCCTGGACTGTTGGACACCCTATAAAAAACCTATTTGAGATTGAAATACTTCTACAGATCAGGCCTTGGTGACAAATTACCTATGCTGTTTGCCTTTTGTTTCAATAGGAATTGGTGTCATTTTAGCTTCCAGCCATAAGCTGCTTCTCCCAGTCACCTCTGCTGCTTATTAAACTATTCCAGTGAATCCAGCATTTCTTCAATGAACTCTCTCCATGTCCACTTTCATGTCCCATTTCCTGGACTCCTTTATTCTCTGGTGGTATCTTATTGCAGAGGAAAAACTGAGAAAGTGCTGCTTACGAGAGTTTCAGAATGAAGCTGTTGCTTTGATTTAGAAGATGGCAGTAACTAATGGGCCTGATTTGCAGAAATGCATCGTCTGCACCAATAGGGAGAGTTTTCTCAGAAAAGGAGTTTTCTAATTTACACAAAGTACTCATGTTATCAAAATTACTCTGCTGAACCAAGCTGATTCAGTGAGTGGAGCTCATTTACTTTTACATTACTTACTCTTCAAACTGAGCCACTTATTTAGGCTGCAATCATACTTGGGAGTAAGTCCTATTGAACTCAGTGGGATTTACTTCCAAGTAGACATTCATAGGCTGCTAAACGTATGCTGTTAAATGCTTAAATGACAGCCACAGGGAACTCCAACATGTATTCAGGTCCCTTCCAGACTCAGTATTTTACGGTACAGATTCAAGTGCATGCCAGTAATGTAGGTTTGTGCAACTGAAGTGGATTGGTGCAGGGGTTGCCAGTAATGCAGGGATCACCAAACTTTTTGGACTAGTGTGCATATTTCAAATTTTGAGGGAGTGTTAGGGGATGTCAGTCACAAAATGGCTGTCATGGAGGATGCGTAGCATAACACAAAGCTAGAGAGAGAACCACCAGGGGCAGACTTTGGTAATATGGCACCCTGAGTGAGGGTAAAATTTTGTGCCCCCCCCATATTTATTATTTTCACAATAATTGAATAGGTACCCATATAAATTGGGATGTGGGTGGCGCTGTGGGTTAAACCACAGAGCCTAGGACTTGCCTATCAGAAGACCGGCGGTTTGAATCCCCACGACGGGGTGAGTTCCCATTTCTTGGTCCCAGCTCCTGCCAGCCTAGCAGTTTGAAAGCATGTCAAAGTGCAAGTAGATAAATAGGTACTGCTCCGGCGGGAAGGTAAACGGCATTTCCATGCGCTGCTCTGGTTTGCCAGAAGCGGCTTAGTCATGCTGGCCACATGACCCGGAAGCTGTACACCAGCTCCCTCGGCCAATAAAGCGAGATGAGTGCCGCAACCCCAGAGTCGGTCATGACTGGACCTAATGGTCAGGGGTCCCTTTCCTTTTTTACCCATATAAATATAGGGTTGTTTTTTATGTTGTTGTTGTTCTTTCATGTCCTCTCGGCTTGGTGCCCTGTGCACCCAAAATCCAACACTGAAAACTACCCTCAACAACCTTTTGCTTACTCTGGAAAGTCAGCTATGTCCTGCTAGTCCCGATTATGCAGATCACACATATGCATAAGAATCATTCTCTCTCCATTAAAGTGCTGAGTGGTTGAACCATCAGGTGAACCACAGTCCATAGTAACCTTAACAAAACTTTTGGAACAGAAATACATCATGGAACAGAAGCCCATATATTTAAAGTTTGCCCTTGCCATCATTTAAAAAACTGTTAAGGAATCGAAACAGAGTGATTCATCATGGTTTCTAAAGAGCAGCAGATAAAATCTCTCGGTGCTATTGCATCTGAAAATGACACAATTGTGCCATAAATCTGTGCTTTGGAGACATTTTCATTGTAACATACGACGAGGCAGCAGCACCAGTCCTAGCTGTTGGCACCCAGGTGTACCATTGCTGTTGATAAATCCTTTTGCCTCACTACCTTATCCCAGGGTCAGCTGTGATAAAACAAAAGAATCAACCCTTTGTTGGAACTTCCTGGAGCCATGGCAGTGAAAGTAAGTGCTATCTGCCAGATGGAAAGTTTCCTTGCTGCTTATCAAGTTGCAGCCATGGGATCAGATCAAAGCTTTGGAAGGAGGTGAAAGTCAGAATTGCTTATAGGAAGCAATGAAATTATACTACATACCCGCACTCCTATTTTCTTTGGCCTTTAGGAGTGTAAATCCTTATAACCAGGGTAATCAGACCTACCTAAATTCTTCTGGCACTGATTACCCTGCTTCTTCTTTCTGCATCTTACATTTGGAACCTTCGCAAATTTGTTCCTGCTTATCTCAAACATCCACTTAGCTACTGTATGTGCATATCACACTTTCTAGTCTCTTCAGAAGAACAAATCCCCTCTACCTAGTGAAATAGGGATGTTCTTTACTCATTCCACTGCACAACTGAATCAATGTAGAACTGAAAGTACCAAATGTTCATGACAGGAAGCTCTAATTTTGAGATACATTGGTACCTTTCCAGGGGAGTGGACTGACCCAATTTCATCTCTGCCTATTTTTTGTATGAACAACAACAACGAAAATCAAGGCACACAATCCTCCGCATTGCTTCCAAAATGACAAAAATAAATGGCTATCAGAGACTAAACAAAGCTATTGGAGACTATTGCATGTAGAAATAGTGACTGATTGCGAAAGAGAAACCTGGCTTAATGTTGCTTCTCATTCGAGCAGTTGCTTCTCATTCGACAGTCATAATGAAGAATTATATACTTTAGGGCCCATCCCTATGTTACCTCAGCAACGTGGATGCTTCTGAAATGTGATTGCTTCCCAATAATATCACGATCCTAAGACCATGTGGAAGGGATTGCCATGGCAGTATTGTAACTTCCAGGAGAACTTTGCACTCCATGTTGCAGACTTCCCACAGGAATCTGGGAAACAGGGGGGTGGACTGCATGGGCCTTTGGTCTGATCCAGCCAGGCTCTTATTATGTTCTCACCATGTATTCCTGCTATGCTGAAGTAATCTAGGAATGGGCCATTAAATACAAGAAACATAACCTGGGTATCTTTGCACAGAGCCAGGCAACCATCCCCCAATCCCCCTGTAGCCGGTACTGCAGAGATCTGTCTTTCCCATATACTAAGTCTTAATAACTAAGATAATAGTTGTATTATCTTGCATGTTATTGAAAAGGAAGAGCCCAGACTAGAATTTAATTAACAGATATAGTGGGAGCTTGACTGATTAATGAACTTGGCTGCCACTCAAGCCACATGCAAGCACAACATGTGTGGATCTGAAATGCAGTGACTGCCAAAGTTGCAAAAAGGAGTGTTCTGCAGTGCAGCAGTCTACCTTCCCCTTTGCCAGTCACTTTCAAACCCAAGAGACTGTTGTTCCATTTAGTACGGATACAGCTTATTAGTTCCTCAGCATTTTCTGTCATGCACCTAGCAGGATTTTTAAAAAAATATTTTATTTCTCTTATGTATATTTATGTTGCTAGGAGTTTCGGGTGGGGGCAAGTAGACTGTGTGCAGAGACTCTTCTAACCCCCGGAGCGAGCAAGTCTTAAAATATAAGCCAGGCTAACTTCCTGTTGGAAAATAAGGAAGTTATAAGGAAACCGGCTTGGGTGATGGGCCATTAAGGAAACCAAGGAAGTGGATCTGTGTGAGATAACAAATGGGTGGGGCCCCTGCCCTCAAGTGGCTGGTAGTTAGAAAAAGAGAGTCGAGCAATGTTTGAGAGAAATATCCGATGTCTGTTTGAATCCAAGCCTGTGACTATGGGAGAAACCAGATCCTTTTGGAATGTTAATGCTCAAGTTGTGTATATGTGTAAATAAACCATAAATCATAAACACCACAGTCTCTGCTGTCCCATATTCCAAGGGAAAAGGACCCTGGGTAAGTGCCTGGAACCCCTGGAATCTCACACTGCTCGAAGATTGCATCAATATATTTAGTAGTGTAGGTGTTTGTGTGCGTAGCATATCTTTGATGGTTCCCTCTGTTTGACAGAATATATCCAAAGTTAAATCTCTCCCTGTGCTTCCTGGCAGGGGAAAAAGCACAAGATTTAAAAGTTGTTCAGGACATACCTTGGTGGGACTAATCAGGGCTGGAGTTAGGAAAAACCAGACTTATTTCATCGCTCTCAACAAATCTGCCAGTGGATGCATGCCCCACAGTGCACCAAATGCAACTTTAAATATATTTTGCTTGCATCCTGAATCTAAACGGTGCCTGTTCCAACCCTTTTTCTACCACCAAAACCCTCTCAACAACAATTCCCCCTCAAAGGTAAGAGAAAGCTTACCTGTCTGTGCCATCTTGGACAACAGGGTTCTTCTTTCCATTCATTGTATGCAGCTGTAGAAGTTTACTTTCCTTATTACAAGTCTTATTTCTCATCTCATGTGTTAGAGGAACCTCTCTGGCATCTGGTCCCACTCTCCGACACCTGAGTAACCGCTGATAAGCTGTCCGGAAGTCCCTATTCAGTGCAGCATATAAAACTGGATTCAGTGCTGAGTTGGCGTAACCAAGCCACATGACAATGGTCATCAGGCTTTTGTATGCTTCACCCGTCACACCCCGATATGTGAACACTGTAAAATAAGGAAACCAGCAGATAATGAAGGCTCCCATCACAGCTGCAAGAGTCACAATGGCTTTGTGTTCCTTCACAGTGGGTAATGCATTTCTGATGGTTGTGCAACTGTTGGTGTGGTTGATCCTCTTTGCTTGTTCCCTGGCTATTTTGAATATCCGGTAGTATGTGATGCACATGACTAGCAGAGGGAGGTAGAACGTAAGCAAGCCATCCACCAGAACATACCCAGCATTGACCTCCAGCTTGCACTCCTGCTTCCCGTCAGTTAACTGTGTGTTCTGGACAGTGCTGCCATTGGTGTTCCAGGCCAAGTGGATCGGTAGGAACGAGACCATCAGTGACACCACCCAGATAAGGAACATAGCCACAGCCACCCGCTTAGGAGTGACCATAGTGTTGTAGCGGAGAGGTGCTGTGATAGCATAGTAGCGATCAAGGCTAATCATGAAGAGGTTGAGGATGGATGCTGTGCAAAGCATGACATCCAAGCTGATGTAGATATTGCACAAGGTGACACTGAAGATCCACTCATGGGAGGAGACCTCATAGATGGCCGAAAAGGGTAGCACCATGAGGCCCAGCAGCAAGTCTGTGAAGGCCAAGGAGACAATGAAGCAGTTTGTCAGGTTGCGGAGCCTCCGGTTGAAATAGACAGCTAGACACACCATCACATTTCCAAACACAGTCCCAATAATGAGGACTGCGAGAACAATTGCGGTTGGCACTTGTCCCCAATCACTTGTACCGTCTGTGGAATTCATGGTGGTGTAATTGGGAAGTATCATTTTGCTTCCGTACAGACTCACATGGCAGCTGCTGCTCCACGTACCCTGGAAGAAGTGGTTAGGTCTGATTCCTTGAAGAGCTTGTCCAGATGCCTTCCTTCACCGCCTTTCATAAGAGGCCCCTGCATCATGGCTCTGAAAAGATGCTAGGAATCAGACAACACCTCTGGTTGCATATTTAGAGAAAGACTGAAGTCTAAATAAATCCCCAAATCTGAGCACATTCATTCTCTGCTGGAAGGACCATCAGATGTGCAGCTTGCAGCAGAAAGATCCAACTGAGACTCCTTGTTAGCAATGTTGTAGTGTGACAGATTTCTTGAGGACATGTCTATTAGATAGTTATTAACCATGATAGCTAAGTGGAACATCCATGTTCAGAGGCAGTAGACAGCTGGATAAAAGATTGTGGGGACATGTAACAGAGTAGGGTTGTTGCCTTCATGTCCTGCTTTTGAAGACCTCATGGAACCATCTAGTTGGCTACAACTGGAAGCAGGATGCTGGATCAGATGGAAGTTTAGTTGAATCCAGAAGGGCTCTTCATACACTTTTTATGTTCTACCAAGTCAGTTTTGCCTAGTTTTGGCCTCTCCCTTTTCTTCCCTCTCTTCTTCCTCCTTTCAGACAAATCATTAGGTTGTATTAAGTTGAACGATGCATTAATCACCACATGTGGTTTTATAGGTTCGGCCAGAAAAGGGTTGGAAGAGTCCCAGTAACTTCATTATTCTTAGACTGTGTCTCAATTTACATCTCTTGAAGGTATCTATCAAAATAGAAGAGGGATGGATATGCACACTTTCCTGGTCAGAATCTGGAAGGAAGAAATAAGAGTCAGATGATATACGTAGGATATATGAAGCTGCCTTATATCAGGTCAAGATATTTGTCCATCTAGCCCAGAATGGGTGACTTTCCAGATGTTGGAAAGTCTCATCAGCCCTAGCCAGCATGGCCAATGGTCAGGGATAATGGGGGTTGTAGTCCAGCAACACCCAAAAGGCCACAGGTTCCCTACTCCTTGTCTGTGATGCATATTATCCAGAATCTCAGACAGAGAAAATGGTTTTCCCATTACCTGCTGAGTCATTTAACTGGAAATCCAGGGAGCAAATATGGGTGGGAATTTCCCATGCTATGAATGTGCTCTTCCACTAACTAGTCGCCTCTCTTCCTTCAACTTATGACTTAGCTTAGGACTTTCCTTTGTAGACATGGGAAATTCTCACTGGAGACTCACTGTTATCCCTGGAAGTGCTCAGACCACATGGTTGCTGATTCATACAAAGAATGCCTCAATATTCAACACACCGTTTCTGGTTTCATCGACTGCTGCTTCACTCTAGTGACATCAGAAGAGAGCCTGATGGGGTTAATCAAGGAGTGACCAATATGTGGTCCTCCAAATATTGCTGGACTCCTACACCCATCAGCCCCAGCCAACATGCCTAATATTCATGTATTATGGGAGTTGTAGTCAAACAATATATGGAGGTTAACTACTCCTAGGGTAAAGGCTGAGATCAAAGAAATAATGGCTAGAGCTAGGAGCATATTCTAGGTTATGGAACCCTTGCCCACCCACCACTCAACACCTGGAAGGATAACAATAGGAAATTAAAGCAATTGTACCCATACATATAGACAGCAAATGCATTGTAAAGCACAATGGGTAGAATCCAATGTAGCACCATGTGGGGTACGTGGGGAAAGAGGCCTTCTTGCACAACTAGACTTCTCCCCTCCAACCCCCAACACAAGACTTCCCCCCATTCCCTGCCTGCTAAACCTGTTCTGGGGGCTGCCCAGTCCTCTAGAGCAGATTGGAGGATCCGTGGGGGTACATGGGGAGGAGAGAGGGAAGTCCTATTGTGCAAGCAGAGTCAAGGTCACTCCAAAGTTGAGTGACTTTAACCTCAAAGTGTGTAGCCAGTGGGGCACAGTAGGTCTTCCAATGTTCCAAAGGCTCCTCCCCCACAGCGAAAGTCAGTAACTTTCAAACCATCTGAAACAACTACACCAGCTGGATACTAGAGGATGTTATGCAAGCTGGAGAATGAGCCTTCTTACGCACCCTACACTGCTACGTGGTAGCCACAATTACGTGCTCCAACCAATGTTTGGTTGACATCAGATTGAGACTTGTACTGCTTATGCCCTAGTCCTCACCTGGCCTGTTTCATAGCCCAGAATACCAAGGGACCACTTGGGCTCCACAATGCCAGAGAGGATGCTTGGAAGCAATCATGTCAGCCAGTTGTTTCATCTCACCATTCCATAGCAAGACCAAGGCTTTGACAGGAATGTCTCCTTTCTCTGCTGGAAAACCCCCCAGAGTATGCAGCAACACATTAGGTTCCTCAAGGTCTGAGGGTGGGCCATCCAAACTTGACCACCACCCTTTCAGGAGGAAACTGCCACCATCCGTCCAAACTGTACCAGATAACAGTGCATCCCTCATATCACTTGGGGCAAAGACTATATCAAGGGTGTGACCTACGTGATGTGTTTGGAGTCACCCCTTTTGGGGACAATTCTGCCACAGTTGACCTCGCTGTCCATGGTAAAGCTTGTTCTTCTAGCAAGACAATCCTGGTCCACACCAAAACCCCTGCTGTATCTACTCAGGAATCAGACAATGCCCAATACTGCAATCAGCAGAAATACTCTCTTACCTGCCGGCAAATACCTCACAGAACAAACTAACCGAGGCAGTCAAAAAACAGGCACACAAAATCTTACTAGCTGGGAAAGCAGCCAAGACAGGAGTCAGGATGGCGTGAATTGCCCCTCCCTCTCCAAGGGGTAAAGTGTGTCAGAGCTTGTTATAGCAAGGTAGGCCACACCCACAACCTAGCTGTAGCCACTAAACTATATCTACAGCATTCTGTTCAAATTAAACTGTGTCACCTATCAACTTGTTTTTCCGGATGGGCAAAGATGCATGTCATCCAACAGCTTAACCCCATAATCCCAAAACAAATACAAACAAGATATTTATTTGTAAGGTCAGCTCATTTCCTTCACATCTGGCATACACTGATAGAGAACTAAAACATAGTTATGAGAAGCAAGGAGAAGAGGCGTGGTATTAGCTGGAATCTCAGGAAGACGGTAGCTGAGATCATGCCTGATGTTAAGTTTTGTGGAAGCTAGCCAGCACCTTAGTTCACAGGACGCAACAAGCAGCGCAGCGTTGACGTGGCACAAGATGGAATAAATGGAATCTACAGAGCTTTGAAATATCTTTTACTGCACTTGCTTGAAAGCTGGCCTTTTCAAAAGGTTTCTTCCAATTGCATTCAGTTGCAAATGCCCTTGCAACTGAAAGTATTGTGTATTGGTATTGGTACTCAATGCATTAAAATAGTAGTTGCAGGGTTGGCCTAAGACATCTTGCTGCTTGAGTACTGCTGAAGGAAAGGGTGTGCGTGTGTGTGTGACAGGCTGCACCTGGCGGCGGGGTCCCAGCTGGCTGAAGGGAGGAGGAAAGTGGGGAGGAGTTGAGATGGCGAGCTGCGTGCTGGTGGTGCCACGAGGAGGGCTCTCTGGTAGTTCTATCGCTTAGTTAAAGGGCTGGATGTGGGGAAGGGAGTGTTGTGTCAGCTGGTGGGAAAGGAAAGGAGGAGGAAAGGCTCTCCCTAAGGAACTTGTGCATGGGCAGCCCATGACCTTTCGTGCTTCAGGATCTGTTACTCAGTTCATTATGGCCTTAATGCTGTTCTTTGGATCTGAGGTGACACTGGAGTAGTCCATCAAGTTGGGGGGGGGGGAGAGGAGAGGAGGTCACGGGCCTTCTTTTTTCCTGGGCGTGTGAGACCGGCCCCACTGTGCATCCCCCCCCCCCAGTTTTCTTCCACAGCTGCTACTCCTCTGAGGCAGAGAGGCAGTTTCTCCCAGCTTTGGTGTGGTGGTTCTGCCCCTCCCTAAGCATGTGCCAAGGGTTCAAGAGTTAGGTAGGTTACTGGGAACCAGGCAGAGTGCCTGCTCGGTAGTGGCGCCTGCCCTGTGGAATGCCCTCCCATCAGATGTCAAGGAAATAAACAACTACAGTGGTACCTCGGGTTACATACGCTTCAGGTTACACACTCCACTAACCCAGAAATAGTGCTTCAGGTTAAGAACTTTGCTTCAGGATAAGAACAGAAATCGGGCTCCGGCCGCGCGGCAATAGCAGGAAGCCCCATTAGCTAAAGTGGTACTTCAGGTTAAGAACAGTTTCAGGTTAAGAACGGACCTCCGGAACAAATTAAGTACTTAATCTGAGGTACCACTGTATATGACTTTTAGAAGGCATCTGAAGGCAGCTCTGTTTAGGGAAGTTTTTAAAGTTTGAAGTTTTATTCTGTTTGCAATGTTCTGTTGAAAGCTGCCCGGAGTGGCTGGGGAAACCCAGCCAGATGTGTGTGTGTGTGTGGGGGGGGGTGTTAGAAATAAATTATTATTATTATTATTATTATTATTATTACTGTAGCAGCAGCAGCTACAGCTGCCCAGCTTCGCCCCAGAGAGAAGGCAAATGGAAAAGCCTTCAGTAATATATAAGTAATAATAATCAAAAACAGTAGGTATGAGTAGGGGGTACCTCTTGCCATAATTATTCTGGTGGATTTGTAGAATTCTGACTTTGCTTGAAGGGAGTCTGTCTTCATGTGCACAGTAAGTGTTCTGGAACTGAGGCTATGAGTGTTTGTACTTCCGTCTACTGTCATGTGCAGGTTCACAATAGAGTTATGACAACCAGAGCTATAAGATAACGCAGGAGCCAAGCGAACTTCCTCAGTATATCTGATGCCAGTGTTGTATGATCTCTTTACCAGCTAGCTGAAAGTTAAGACCAAGGACCAAATGACAAGCACCGAATAAAAGAATACTGTAATTCAAATCCCAATCTTTTAATGTCCATGCTAGAATTGGCTGCTTTGCCAGCATACACATTTTCCAGATGCCTTCAAGCTGCTGCCCACCACCACTGAGTTCAAACAATCCAAACGATTTATCATATTTTTGGTACCCTTATGTACAAACTCATAATTTTTATTTCATCAGTCTATGACAACAGGAACAGGAACCTCATCCTTGCTTCTAATGATAAGTGAACTCTTAAATCAGGGGTCAGCAACCTTTTTCAGCCGTGGGCCGGTCCACCGTCCCTCAGACCATGTGGTGGGCCAGACAATATTTCAAAAAATAATAATGAATGAATTCCTATGCCCCACAAATAACCCAGAGATGCATTTTAAATAAAAGCACACATTCTTCTCATGTAAAAACACTCTGATTCCTGGTCCGTCCACAGGCCGGATTTAGAAGGCAATTGGGCCGGATCTGGTCCCCGGGCCTTAGTTTGCCTACCCATGTCTTAAATCATAATCTGAACGATCTCTGCTGTGGTACTTCCAACAACATTAACAGGTGGATTCTAGATTAGTATAAAAAAATTAATAAATTTACTTCATAGCAACTGATCTCATTTCTTCCTTACTTTTAATGGTCATTGTGCTATTTGTTCCTGGAAGACAGGGAGCAGTTTTATACCAAGTCAGACCACTGGTCCATTTTGCTTAGTATTGTCTACACAGACTTACAGTGGCTCTCCAGTAGTAGTTGCCAGGGATTGAACCTGAAACCCTCTGAATGCAAAACAGGGCCGACCAGAAGGAATTTTATAGAATATTTTGTAATTTGGAAAGGTATGAAGTTGAAAAAAAGCTTGGTTCATTTTCTTTTTTAAAAGAGCTAACAAATGACTGGTGATTTCAACACTTTTCTTATAAAACAAGAGTATGTTTGAGAAACACCAATATCTCCACTACAATAAGTGAAGCCAAATCGATGTCCAGCAGTGCTGGAAATAGTTCCAACAGCATCAGTGAAGTTGTGCTGTTATAGTTTGAGATAATATGAGAATGTGGGATGGATTAGTTGGGATCAGAATGAGAATTGTCACCAGCAAATGTTACATGCCCCCTAGATCTAGATCTAGATATATAGATATATGAAGGGGGAGTCTTGGGATAGAAGCAGCCTCATTTTTTTTTTTAAAAAAAGAACTTCATATCTCAACAGAAATTAATACTCCACTTATTGACTGAGACCTGCACACTATACAAATAACCTTTCTGAACACTCTTGGCACTCAAATACAGAAGCAATTGTTTCATAAACTCTCTGCTGCATAGATAAATGGAGCACTTTGCTCTTATTGAAAGATTCTCCTATTGCAATCGTATCCCCTTAACTGATCAAATACAATGTTCTGACGACATAAATAAATAAAAGCAAAACATTAACATGCCACTATGTAGGAAGCCACTGTTTACTTTGGTGTAGTCCTATTTAAATCACAGCACAGGTACCACTGTATACACTGGGAAGGAAGAACATCAAATACTTACTTTTATTCCAAGTATGTTTCAGATGCTGTATGGAAATGAATGTTTGGTTATAAAATTAGCAGCAGAATCTCCTTAGGGCAGGGGTAGTCAAAGTGGTCCCCTCCAGAATTGGTTGGAGTCCAGCTCTCCTCCACTCCTGCTGGCATGGCCAATGGTCAGGGCTGATGCAAGCTGGAGTGCAACAACATCTGGAAGGTATCATGGAATCATAGAACTGTAGAGCTGGAAGGAACCCAAGGGTCATCTAGTCCAAACCCCTTGTGATACAAGAGTTCGATTCCTGCCGGACAGCTGCTCCCAAGTTGGCTGTTTCTGCTTTAGGGCACAATCCCTGAGATAAACTGCCAACTCAAAGGACACACCAGCAGAATATTCCAGGGTTGGGGCTGTTCTGCTGGTGAAGATATGTAGGCAGAACATCCATAATGGGATGCAGATGCAGATGGCACAAGAGAAGACCACACTTATGCCATAACCTGTACTGCCCAGGCTGTGGTCACATTCCTGTTAATGGTCCCCTTTCTACCAACTCCAGTCCTGACAGAAAAAGTGACTTCAAATGGTAAACAAAAGATTGCATTCTGTTATAAAATACTGAAGTCAGTATTTGTACTGCACGGTTGAGACAGCTTTTTATAGTAGATACTTTTTTTTGGCATTTCTATGTAATTCAAAACATTTAAGAAATAAAGGTTAAACAAAAATGGATGGAATAGTCAAGATCAAAGCTCTCACCTTTCTGTCCCTGAGACCCTCCTGTTTTCTGCTCCTGAACCTCTGGGCTGCAAGGTGGAGAAAGGGTTGTGGGAAAGAAAGCCATGCTCTCTTTTGAGCATTTTCTTCTTAGAGTGTTCTGCTAAGTATTTATTCGCCTTGTTTCCTAGGGGCCTCAATAATCCTTGCATTTCCTGAAAATGACCAGAAGCTCTGGGAATTCAAGATTAGCATCATGAAGTCAATGGAATGGGGCTGAATGATGTAAAAAAGAAAAGAAAAAAAGAACAGGACCGGTGAGTTGATGTAAGCAAAAAAAATCTCTCTGATAATCCAGGTATGTGAAGAGAAAGGAAAATGCTGACTTGCCCAGAGACACTGTGCAGTGCGGAAAGTCAGGGCAAAGGGAAAGAGCACAGAAGCTCACTAAAAACAGGTGTTTAATGTTTCATAATAATGGAAGGAATAAGGGAAGGAATCACAGTGCTGTTTCCAAGTGGCCAGAGGCACTTTCCCTGCAAAAATGGACATCAGATGGCCATGCTGTCTTCTTGATTCCACTGTTTATGATCTTCATCTGCAATATTAAGCCATTTAGAGCAAGGATAAGAGCTTGCCTTCCTGTCATCTGAGGGCCTGAAGCTCAGAAAGCCCAATCAATTTGGCCTGGTTACATTGTTACTCAGTTAAATAGAAATGCACTCAGCGCATACTCAGGGATACTCTCCTCAGCTGCCAAAGAGTAAAACACACACACAACTATGTCAGCTAATGCATGGTAATTGGAGATGGAACATTTTTTTTTCAAAAACACCTCTCATCCTCTGAAATCGAAGTGGAAAAGTCTGGGTGAGGCCCAGACTCACCAGTTCTACTGAAGAGGCTCCTCATGAGGCCAGAGGAACATCATCCGGCTTTGAGGCGTGAAGGCCGCTCCCTGCAAGGCCTTTTCCAACTGGCCTAGGGGGCGGGGCCCAGACTCACCTAGCCCTACTACGTTAAATACCGGTATGTATTCTGTAGTTGACCTCCTTTGTAATGTTCTATTTTGAAATCTTTAAGATAATATTTTAGTTTCCTGTTATATTGCTTTGACTGTATACTCTATATTTGACTTACTTCAGATTGTTTTATTGATTTAATATGCTGTAAACCACTTTGAGATTTTTTAAAAAAATATAAATAAATAAATAAATAAAGAAAGAAAATAAATAAATAATAAATAAAAGTTTTCTTCAGTGTTTACTTAACAGAGGTGCTCAGGGTCAAATTGGACATGATATTTGTCACACACTCAACATTTGTCAAATACAGCCTTGTGCATTTGATTTTTCCAAAAATTTTGTGTGTGTGTTTGCATGAGAGAGAGCGAGAGCGAGCGCACCTTGAACAAGGCTAAGCCATATAGGCTGAAACAGGATGGTAAATCCTAAATCACAGAGTCTAGAGGAAAACACAGATAGCATCTACATTTGTATTTTGTTTTCCCTAAACCTGGGCCAAGAGGAATTAAAAGGGCACTTCAGGAGGACATTTTGGATTTTTTTTCAGGGGGGGAGGATGATTCAAGAGGACTAGGAGAGGATTTCCCTTGCACTTTATATTGTTACAGATTTGGGGTAACAGAATTTTTTTTGGGGGGGGGGGGCTTTCAATGCCAGAAATTATTGAAGGGACGATGCCAAATCAGTGAAAAACACAGGCTAAACTTCTTCTCGAGGCCAGGGCCCCACTTGGGATAGAATAACAAAGAATGACAAAAGGTGCTGAAGCAAGTCATCAGCAGGACAAGAGATTCTTTGCTGGTGGACAGAGTGGGGAGTTCATCTTCCATGACATAGGAAAACACGGGAGGGGTGGGCTGTGCAGACAGGGGGGGAAATGCTGCTTTACACAAGGCTTGGGTTTTTCCTGGTGAGGGTGTTTGGGAAGGAAAAGGGTAGAGCTAGAACTCTAGGCATAGGCCATGCAGGGCAGAACCATCTTGGCAGGTTAGGACAGAGGCGCAGAGATGGTGTGCAGGATGCCTTGGACTCCAGTCCTGCACTGGTGCATCTGAACTCTCTCCATTGAAGACTTTAGGTTCAAATAAGCCACATTTCCTAAAGACATTAGTCTTTGCTGTGCCTTAATTTGCCAACGGAATCACAACCCTGGATGAGGGCCTGGACTCTTGCGCAGCCACTCAGCAGAGACTGGGATGGCATGTAAAAATATGTTAAAAAGTGCCCTGCATGGAGCTGAAATGAGGAAAAAAGAAACCGAGAAACCCAGATGCGTGCGCCAGTGTTGAACAACCTTGCGATACTCTTTGAACCCTAGCCCTGGTGAGGAAATCATGATCCAAATTATTGGCAATTCCAGCTGAACATGGGCTATATATAACCACTAGTACACCCTTCCCTGTTCCTTCTGCCCTTCCTCTTGGGGAGTTTCTCATCAGAGACAGATAAACTCCCCAAGAGGAAGGGCAGAAGGAACAGGGAAGGGTGTACTAATGGTTATACATAGTGTGTGAAAGAATGGCAAAGGGGCCATATTGAACAGGGGTCTGACCTTGGTGGCCTGAGCAGTGGAATGCTTTGAGCAGACTTGAAAGCATGGATGCCCCCTGAGTCTCAGGGCTCCAGGGGGTTCCTTTAATCTCAGGGACTTCAATGGCCAAGAGCAGAAAGCCTGAGATTATTTTTCCCCTGAAAGTGCTCATGATCAAAGTTGTAGGATAATCAGAAATGCTGGGAAAGCATATGGGCTGCTGTCGTTCTCTTCTCCCATCACAGATATGGGCATTTCATATTGAAAGGTTATGCTCCATACGATTTCCGAAAGGGCAAAAACAAAGCTTTCATGAAATACGATGTTTACACTGTTGAGTCTGTGGAAATTGCTATCAGGGACTGATAGTTTCAGGCCAAGAAGATCTTACTCAGGGAGGAGCAATGTCTCAGTACCGGAACACCTACCTCGTATGAACAAAGCCCTACTCTCAGTGCTCAGAGAGATCTCCTGCAAAAGGATCTTTCTTAAAAGCAGGTTAAGACCTTCACCTGTGATGTTTGAGAGGTGCACAAATTCAAGGTTGACAATATAGGGCTAGAGATAACCTTGGTGTGAGTCATCATAAAACAATTCACAACTTCCCTATTCTCTGGAAGTACAGAAGTATTACTGTGCATAAATCATGTGTATTTAATCTGAGCTTAACCATCCATAGTAGAAAGAATCAAGCCTTTATTTATCTGTTGTGTCATCTTCATCCATAAGTAAACACGGTGGCGGGGAGGGGGAGAGAAGGCGATATTTGAGTAAGAGCACTCACTACTGTTTTGCCTGCTGCTGGCCAATATTGCACATCCTAGACAAAGATCCGGTTCACACTAACGCTAAGACAAACCATGGCTTAAGTGTGCAGGTTCCCAGAGAGGAGATCACAGCCTGTTTGCTCCTTCTCTGGTCCTGCTGCTGCTGTTCTGATGTGAGGTAAAATGTGGTTTGGATTTGTGTGTTAATTGAACCTGGGCTTGTGGTTTACTTTACTTCAAACAAAGAAAGGTTTGTTCTTTGCTCATGGTTTGTATGGCGGAGAAAAGCCACGAGTCTGAGTTTGGACTACATGCTCAGCCAAACCATGGCATAACCAAACAGCTGTAATCTACATGTAGACCTACATTGGCTCCCAGTACGTTTCCGGGCACAATTCAAAGTGTTGGTACTGACCTTTAAAGCCCAGTATACCTGAAGGAGCATCTCCACCCCAATTGTTCTGCCCGGACAGTGAGGTCCAGCGCCGAGGGCCTTCTGGCGGTTCCTTCACTACTAGAAGCGAAGTTACAGGGAACCAGGCAGACGGCCTTCTTGGTAGTGAGACCCTCTCTGTGGAATGCCCTCCCATCAGTTGTCAAAGAAATAAACAACTATCGGACTTTTAGAAGACATCTGAAGGCAGCCCTGTTTAGGGAAGTTTTTAATGTTTTAAGTTTTATTCTGTTTTTAGTGTTCTGTTGGAAGCCACCCAGATTGGCTGGGGAAACCCAGCCAGATGAGCGGGGTATATACAAACAAACAAACAAACAAACAAACAAACAAACAAACTCTTCTTTAGGATCCTACAGACTTAAGGAGTCATACTAAGTTGTGATTTGCATGAGCATTACATGAAAACTGAGCCAATGTTTCCATAGCACAGAGAACATTTGTATGCCAGCTGTGCATGATTGCCTTCTTAGATCCCGCCATGAGTACAGATAAAGTTTTTAAAGGAATTCATAGGTCAGGTTGTCAGGATGAAAAGTACGATTCAAATCCAGTGAGGAGTTGACCTGCATACATAGTAAAAGTTAACACAAGCCAACCATTCTAATGAGGCAGAAATTTTGATCTGAGCGTATCCAGGATGTACTGGGATCTTGGTACAGCAATTGCGTGCTGGTTTTCCTACACTTTACATCTTAAGCAACGTTTACCAGTTCATTGTCAATCTAGTGTTGGAATCTTTGCAAGGAAAACACAGGCAGAGCTGCAGGCTGCTTCTCCATAGCATCAAGTTAAGTCAGATGCATTTAATCTATATTCCTGAAATGCAATAACAGTTGTACGAATTAGTCCTAACTATGCATCATATAACTGACTTGCAAAAATACTTCTGCCATATTCTGCACATGGCAGTCTTTCATCGGACTGCCATCTTGTTGCATGGTTGCTGAATATAACATTGTATTTATTTACTTAGGTTATTTTTAGATCCCCATATTAACAAAGTTTCTCAGGGAGGTTAACAATGTCGATGTAACGGGCATGGAATTTGTCCCACGTACTTCACATGTTGACATGGTTACAATTCTAACTGTGAATGTGCTCTTAAAGAGGGCAGTGGTGTATTTTCAAAATGACTTGCCTTCCGCTGTCAGATATCAAAACAAGTTGAGGTAACACCTTAGCAAAATGAATCCGTCTTGTGCCTTGTTTTGCTCCCGAGAGAATGAGAACTTACTCTTACTTCTAAGTGGCTGAGGTGTGTGTGAGGTGCAATAAGGCTTCTGTTTACACCCACACAGAGGTGTTGACATCACAGTAGTGACCGTGAAGAAACAAGTTACAACTGCCAGACAGGAAACTGTGTGTGCAAAGATGAGGCTACAGCTTCTTGATATAATCTCTTCTTAACCCAGAGGGCTTAAAATGCATACCCTCCAACATTTCTCCAATGAAAATAGGGACGTTCTAAATAATAATAATCATAATTTTGTTATTTGTAAAAGAAAACACCATCTGACAGGGTTGCCCCAGCCACTCTGGACAGCTCTGGACATATATATATAAAACAAAACAAAACATTAAACATTAAAAAAACTTCCCTAGACAGGGCTGCCTTCAAATGTCTTCTATACTTATCTCCTTGGCTTGTGGGTTGCATAACTCCATACCCTTCAACATTTATCTGAGGAAAATAGGGATGTCCTAAGGAAAAATAGGACGTTCTGCAATCAAATCAGAAAACAGGATGGCTTCTGTAGATCCACAACTGGAAAACAGGGACACTTGGAGGGTCTGAAAATGCAGCACCTTGACTCAACCAGCGCCCTCCAGTCTCCTAAAGCAGACCTTTCCCAGTAGCAATGTGTCCATGCCTATGCTGGCCTAGTCCACCACAGCATCTTTTATGGCATTTGCAGCCAAAGAAAACCAAACTTTCCAACAGACATCTGTATTCCTCAGCTCCGTACCCCCTGGGCATTTGGGACTACATTTCCTATTAACATTGGTCATTGGTCATGCTGGCTGGGGCGGATGGGAGTTGTAGTCCAGATCACTTGGAAAGACAGTAGGGACCTGGCAGACCGTAACAGAGATAAACTCTACTTTGAGGAGAGCAACATCAGGAAAATGAGAGGGACAGAGATACATGATTACCCATTCCAAAGAAGGTAGAAGGAGTAGGAGTCTCTCTCAGGTGTTTGTAGCAACGCCCAAGCCCTGTTAGAACTAAGGATCCTTGGAGTGGTTTGGTACAAATTCTTGGGGATCAGTCCCTCTGGTTCTCTGATAACAAGAGGACTCTTGTCCAGAGGCATAGCAGGCCTGCTTGCACCCAGGGCAAGGCAAGTATTGCACCCCCTCTGCAGCAATCAGGTTTCCTTCATAGCTGATTCCCCACATTTAAAATTGCCTTTCTGTTTTTAAAAAGCTGCACATCTTATTCAGCAATGTTAAGTCATGAAAGAACTGAAGAAACACACACACACACACACACACACACACACACACACACACACACACAATTGCTATGCCATATGCCAACTGAGCCAACGAGACCCAAAGCAGCAGCAGCAGCAAGACCTGGGAGGAGCGCATAAAGGGCAGCTGTGCAGCCCTGGCCGGCAGCTGCAGGTAGGAGCAGCCTGGGAGGGGCGCAGCTCCCAAAGAGGGTACCCGCAACTCACCTTCCCTTGCAGCTCTTGCGTCTGGGTTGTTTTCCTTGGACATGCATACATGGCCATTTTAGGCAAACAAGGGTTGTTGGTTGGGTCATCAACCTCCAATGTTTGGAGGTGAGGAAGCATCCCTTGCCCTTGAAATTTTTTGCACACCCCCCACCCCACCACTATGCCACTGCCCTTGTCCTCCACAAACAACCAGAGAGAAGACTCTGATGGGAAACCAAAGTTAGGCAAGCCTTCATAGGTTCCTCTGACCCCTGCACAGTGCAGTTCCCAAGCAGGCATTCATCTCTCTCCACCCTGTAGAATATGTCAAATTGCTGTTGGTGTAGGCTGTGCCTTATCTGCATTGCCTGTATTATTTTAGCTGTATGCACTTTCCACATCTATTAACTATTTCTATCTTGCCATGAGTGCAAACTTGTGCTTCTCACCTTAGAATGGAGGCTGTGCCCTAGTGCTGATTTCTCCCTTGATATCAGCGCAGAGGTGACACAACATGGCTCTAGGGAAATGAGTTTGCAAATTATGTGTCTGTAGGTGACATACATAGATACCCATGTATGTGTGCTCATTAATGCACCATTTTGCAAATGGAGCAGGCAATATCTAGCTGACCCACAAAGGATTTTATGCACAGACACAGTTAAAAATCGACACCTTGCTAAGCTTCCATGGTTCTTGGTTGCTAATGGATATAAGAGCATTGCATTCCTGATGTACTTGACATCTGAAGAGTAACTGCTTTGACCTTCTCTCTAAACCAGGGATCAGCAAACTTTTTCAGCAGGGGGCCGGTTCACTGTCCCTCAGACCTTGTGGGGGCCCAGACTATATTCTGAAAATAAAAATGAACGAATTCCTATGCCCCACAAATAACCAAGAGATGCATCTTAATTAAAAGGACACATTCTACCCATGTAAAAACACGCTGATTCCCGGACTGTCCGCGGGCCGGATTTAGAAGGCAATTGGGCCAGATCCGGCCCACGGACCTTAGTTTGCCTACCCATGCTCTAAGTGTTTGCTTTGGACTCATATGGACCTTTTCAGAAAACACCTGCAGCTGTGGATTTAATATGTTCCACCATTGCAATCTTTTTATTGGAAACATTTTTATATCACCCTTTAATTCAAAATCCAGGATAGTTTATAAAGCTCATAACAACACAGTTTTGTTTTGTTTTTTTAAAAAATGCAGTGTTGGATGGGGTCCTTTGGCTTATTTGTCTTTCTCTATAGCTTGATCAATGCCAATATCTATTGAGCATTGGATTTTCCCTCCTTCCTACTCTTCTTCCCTCCCTTCTTTCCCTCTCTTCTTCCTACTGCTCGTTTCTTCAACTTCCAAACAGGTAGCTTTGTGAATCAGTATGGCTCGACATTGGGGCAGTCAACAGGAACTGCCAGCAAATTGCATTGGGCAGCCACAGCTCAGCACTCTCAGCTGAAATATATTTTCATTGTGGTTTAGACATCACTCTTTACCAGCACACATCCTTCACACCCAGCCCATGATGTCTGGGGCGTCACATTTGCCTTTCCCTCAATCATCATTATCCCACATTGCCAGAATAAATAGCTTCCACCATGGCACCTTGGGTTCCATATGGAATTAGAGCATGAAACATTAGAGAAAGTGAGTGGGGGTGCTTAATATTTTTTCTCTTGCTATAGGAACAGCAGGGAAGCATAAAATGAGAAGGAAATAAACCAGCATTTTATGAAGAGCATGCTTAAGGGTCCATTATCATGTAACTGGAACTATAATGGCCCCTGATTAAAAAGACTGAGCATAACATATTTCGTTAAATTTGTTCCCATCTTAACAAAGCTATCCCTTCCTTAATTTGGTGTTGATCTGCTCACACCTTCCAGCCCCCTCAACTCTTAAGACTTATATGGAGATATTCAGAATGAGATAGTGTACATTAAGAAAAAATTCTAGTGTACATTAGTGTACATTAAGAAAAAGTCCTCATGGTTCTAGAGGGAAACTTACAAATGTTTCTTTTGTGTGCTGTGATTCAGTTCCAAAATGTTGACTGTTGTTTGCAATAAACATGTGTTCTATGGTCATAAGGTTGCCACAAATTTCTGCTGGACTGCCCCATATTACACTATCTCTTATTTTCAAGGCACTTTCTAATTTTCCCTTTCCCTTCCTGTTGCTTCAGAACAGTGGTTCTGGAAGGTGCAGATCCAGCCAAGTGGACAAGCCATGCCGTGTTGGGAAGAGTGCTGTGCTTGTGGTTAAAGTAAACGATAGCAGCAAATTCTCCTAACTTGCATGGCTGCATGGCCTCAGAGTGCATCAATTCCTAGAAGTCAGCACAAGTGCTTACTAAAATCCCACCACAAGATCCTATGGTAGTTTCCATTGCGCCTCTTAGAAATCAGAGGGAGCACTATGAAATTGCCACACACACCTGCAGATGTACCACAGAAACCTTTCTGAAGAATATCAGCGGATGAGTGTTTCTCAAAGCAACCTTGACTGTGTGAGAAAGATGCTTTCTTTCTTTTTCTTTTTTAGAAGTAATTTTGTTGTGTTTTCCCCAGTGTACCTGAAACACAATGTCCAGTGAAATACACATGCATTACTGAATAAAGATAAATAGAAACTATGCGTTCAACAGCTGAGGCACCCCTGCTTATGCTGAATAGAGGGCAATTCCCATGAAACAAAAGCAGATAGTATTACTACAAATAAAATCCATCACAAAATCCACAAGGAAGCATAAACCCTGGGGAAAGAGGCTTTCAGAGCAATGCATGCACTGCTTATTTTATAATCAAAATAAATTGGCAGGTGTGAGCCTGCCCCTCCACTCTTTCCATTTGCGCAGCTAGCTTCTGAGGGAGACAGTCCCCTCTGCAACTTTTTCCTCTTAAATACTCTGACAACTGCATTGTCAAGAGAACAGGTGAGATGTAGCCCCATTATAGATAAGAAAAGGGTCTGCAGCAATACATACACAAACACACAGTTTGTGTGCTCCCATGGTGATTGGGCACACACAAGATGTCAAAGAAATGGGTTCTTATTTTTCTTGTTCCCCACTCAATAAATAAAAAGTCACAGGGAAGGCAATATCCAGGAAGAGAAGGAATCATAGTGTTACCTGCAAGGAGAAGTGAGCAAAGAAGAGGCAAGAGACGGCGGTCAGCTGGAGTATCTCTCCTCTGCTCTTAAGTTTTGTCTCGCCGTTAGCCTGCCGCTGAATTTCTAAGAGCACAGAAGCCAATGCTCCAGGGCTGTTACAGTGTGCGGTAGCTCCCTCCCCTTTCCTCTCCCCTCCCACTTCCCCACACATATTGAAACAGCTAGTGGGTTGCCTGATTGTAGTTTGAGTCAGAGAAACAGTGGGCCAGATTAGAATGACCACAAGCTGCAGTATAGCCCAGCAAAGCCTCCAATCGTCACAGAGAGCGAGAGCACACTATGCCCCGGGGTGCAGTGCACACAGGCAGCAAAGCATGCCTGAAGTTGTGACCCGCAGCAACACAAAAGCCGCTTTCTGCAGAGCCTGGCGTGATGCGTGCAGCTGGGGGAGACCACCCAGTTCACCCCCCCTGTCGAAAGCAGCCTTCCCAGATGTTTTGGATCACAACCAAAAAGAATTACATTTTAAAAGCCAGTTATTTATACCCACAATTCAATGTAAGGTAATGAAGTATGAGTTTTGTGGTTTGAAAACTGCTGCTGCTCTCTCTCACACTGGGTGTGTGTAAAACTACCAAGCATTCAGAAAAAATGTGAGGTCACTCAAAAACTAGACCTGTTGCAGTGAAGTTAAGACTTGGGAGGCAAGAAAAACATGCTGCTCAGGAGGTGTTGGGGCTGACCGAGGGCAGAATGAGGTCAGCAGGACAGAGTCTCATTTATCCCAATAGACCAACATCCACTGTTTCTGGCCCTACCCAAAAACATCAGAGTGAGTGCTAGGAACACCACTTCCTTCTGTTGTACTGATGTAGCTTCATGACAATGTTCTGGGCAGCTGCAAGAAAAGTAATGGAGAGTATAGGATATCTTAAAATAGCAGTTCCGTATACACTTGGAACCCAAAATATTTCTGCTTGGTTTTCTAAAACATGTTATTCCAGGAAATGCTGAAGAAATAGTGTTTCATCTAATAGCTGCTGCAAAGAATATAATAGCTACAATTGGGGGCGGGGGCGGGAAGCATTTCTCCTACTATATCTGAATAGATTGAGAAAATTTGGTCCATAGTAACAATGATTACAAAATTTCTCCCCCATTGTATGTACAGTGGTACCTCAGGTTAAGAACTTAATTCATTCCAGAGGTCCATTCTTAACCTGAAACTGTTCTTAACCTGAGGTACCACTTTAGCTAATGGGGCCTCCCACTGCTGCCACGTGATTTCTGTTCTCATCCTGAAGCAAAGTTCTTAGCCCAAGGTACTATTTCTGGGTTAGTGGAGTGTGTAACCTGAAACGTCTGTAACCTGAAGCGTCTGTAACCCGAGGTACCACTGTACTACAGAAACAGAAGAAACGTACGAAAAAGCATGTGCAACCCTCAACACATATCAGCAAATGAGCACATCTGCTTGGCCTTTGAGGAGAAATGTCTCTCAATCTGAGGGGAACAGCACCCAGAGTTGCAGCATGAGGCAGAGGGAGGCAGCCACATCAGGCAGTAGATGCTGGTCAAGATCACCATGAAGGCTATATATATATATATATATTCAACTGAACACAGCATTAAGACATTCCCGTAATAAAGACTTACTGTTGCTACCAGCCTGGACTGCCTGCCTGTCGAACCTAATTGCCCTTTCATTACACATCACCAGTCGTGCTCCCTGACAATGTGCGGAAGCAGGGATCTTTGTGCTAAGAGAAATGTCATTATGACAACATTGTTCTTCTTTGTTGATCCTGCTATATTTCTCAGAATGCACAGATCTTTACCCTAAATGTAGCCAGGGCCAGTATACTGAAACAGGAAGCATTTCCTTTTTCCTTTCTTTTATAGCTATGCCATAAAACTGTAATACAGAACCACCATGCATGTGAAACATTTTCCTGCCTGGAATTTTTAGGGTTCATGTGCAAACAATAGTGACAATGAAACTCCCTGCTTAAAAAAAAAAGCATTGAAATGAAATATAAGATACCATTCTCTTGCCAACAACAAATAAGAGTATCAGAAAGTAGAGAGCTGTTCTATCATCTTCATACATTGTCACTATTAGCTGGGCCAGATGCGTATTTGTCAAGCTCTGATAAGACATCTAATCTAAATTTAATCGCCACTCTCTCTGGAACTTGTGCAAAGGAGGGCAACCAAGATGATCAAGGGTCTGGAAACTAAGCCTTATGAGGGTGAAGGAGCTGCATATGTTTAGCCTGGAAAAGAGGAGACTGAGAGGAGATATGATTGTTGTTGTTTAGTCATTTAGTCATGTCCTACTCTTTGTGACCCCTTGGACCAGAGCACTCCAGGCACTCCTGTCCATAGCTGTCAACGTTTTCCTTTTTTAAAGGGAAATTTCCTTATTCCGAATAGGATTCCTCACAAGAAAAGGGAATAGTTGGCAGCTATGCTCCTGTCTCCCACTGCCTCCCGCAGTTTGGTCAAACTCATGTTGGTAGCTTCAAGAACACTGTCCAACCATCTCGTCCTCTGTCGTCCCCTTCTCCTTGTGCCCTCCATCTTTCCCAACATCAGGGTCTTTTCCAGGGAGTCTTCTCCTCTCATGAGGTGGCCAAATTATTGGAGCCTCAGCTTCAGGATCTGTCCTTCCAGTGAGCACTCAGGCCTGATTTCCTTAAGAATGGATAGGCTTGAACTTCTTGCAGTCCACGGGACTCTCAAGAGTTTCCTCCAGCACCATAATTCAAAAGCATCAATTCTTTGGCAATCAGCCTTCTTTATGGTTCAGCTCTCACTTCCATACATCACTACTGGGAAAACCATAAGGCAGTGATCCATGAAGGAGGGAGGTATGATAGCCATCTTCAAATGTCTCAAGGGCTGTCACATGGAGGAGGGAGCAAGCTTGTTTTCTCCTGCTTCGGAGGGTAGGACTTGAACCAATGGCTTCAAGTTACAAGAAAGGAGATTCTAACTAAAACATTCAGAAAAACTTTCTGACAGTAAAAGGTGTTTGGCAGTGGAACAGACTCCCATGAGAGGTGGTGGACTCTCTTTCCTTGGAGGTTTTTAAGAGGTCTGTCGTGGATGCTTTAGCTTCCTGTATTGCCGGGAGTTGGGTGAGATGACCCTTGGCTGCTTTCCAACTCTATGATTCTCTCGCAAATGGTTAGTTGTTTTTCACAGCTAAATACCAAAAGATTTCTTCCTGTGGTCCCATTTATTAGTATTAGATGGAAATGTGTTCACAGTAAATGCTCATAAAACACAGCACTTTACACATGCCACATTTTCCCGTGTATAAGACTAGTTCCCCCCCCTTAAAAAAATGTCAAAAATTAGGGGGCGTCTTATACACGGATACATCTCCCCCCATTTTCTTAACTCTGAGTCCCCCAAAATAGGGGTGTCTTATACATGGGGGCGTCTTATAGATGGAAAAATACGATATATCCAACCAAGATTTTACAGAATCTTGTCTCTGCTAGATAAGCAGTTTCTGCTTCCTCATTCCCGTGGTGAAGGCTTCTCTTCACAGAGTCAAAGCCCATATCCTAACTGACCGCAGTCGCCTAGAAATGCCCAAGATAAACAAGGGCTCTCCGTTCTTACTTATCTCTGGCATCTGATCTAAAAGGGTATGCTGTCTCTAGATCTGGAGCTTCTCTTTAGCTATTGTGGACAACAGTTGTTGACAGACCCATCCTACATTGATTTGCTTAGCGCTTTCTTAAAGTTATCTAAACCAGAAGCCATAGCTGCATCCTGTGATAGTGAGAATAATCCATTTAATGTATTATTTTTTTAAAAAAAATACTTATACACCGCCCTATCACAAAAGATGTCAGTGTGGTTTACAACAGCAAAAATAAGAAGAAACCATACAATAAAAGCATAAAAAGTTTTTTAATAAGTTAAGAACAAAAAAGTTTTTTAAAAGGATCGGGAACCCATTGTGGGGGATGTACTCCCTGCAAAGGCCTGGTGGCAGAGAAGAAATTTCAGCAGGCATTTAATAGCTGGCACAGAAGTTAATTACATGTTGTGCAACCCCCCCCCCCAAAAAGCTTTCCTTTATCCTTCCTGAATCTGCTATGTTGCCATTCATTAGATGAACTGTTAATCTAAATCTAAAAAGCCCCAACTGCCTTTCCTTGTGGAAAATGTGCTCCATTCTCATTTTGGTTGTCCCTTTCCCCTGTCTTTTCCACCTCTTTGATTTCTAGTACTTTCTGAGATAGGGTGACCAGCTGAGACAGTGGAGACTTTTGCAGCAATCGACCTTTAATGTGAGCTCTGCTGGGTTTGACCTTCAGTGTAAGCTCCTGCTGTGTTTGCTCGTTTGCCAGCCATGCGAGCTGGTTAGGTTTCATGCAAGTGATAATGATATTAAAACCACAAACTTAACAGTGTTTTCGAACCCAGGCCATTATACGAGTGGCATTTGTCTGATCTGATGTGCTGAAATATGCATTCCCTTGAACTCTGATAAAGGCAGCTATTAATGGCTATGTTTTTTATCCTGTCTTCCTACCTATATGGCTCATTATTACTTAATTGCAAATAGATATATGGGGGGGGGTGTAAGGTAGTAATTTTGAATGGTGCTACATAGGAAAATAAATTTTAAAAGAATGCTTCTCTGAGCATCTCTCAGAGGTACTTGAGGTAATCCTATCAATAAATAGCTCATTAAACTGTACAATCGATGTCCGTGCCCTGAGGCAAGAAGGATCAAGAACAGACTGAGGGGGAGGGAAGTTAAAACAAAAAAACAAAAAAAGAAGATATTGTGGAGCTCCAAAAGGACCTCGCTGTACTGAGTTAATGGGCTGTAAAATGGCAAACGCAATTCACTGTAAACAAGTGATGGAAGATGGGTCAAAAAATCTCAGTTTCACATACAGAATTGCAGGGTATGAAACAACAGGGAGGAATGAGACCTTGAGGTCAGAATGGACAGCTTAATGAAGAGGTGTGCGGCAGCTATGAAAAACACAGAGATGGAAAGAAGATAAAGTCCCAACTAGAGAAGAATGGCAGATCCAATTGGATTATGCTGAAATGACTAACATGACCGGAAGAATCAGAAATCAGGAAGACCAAAATTTTAATAAGGAATGGGAATTTTTAAAATAATTTGCTGAGAAAGGTTCCCCAGACAATCCATTGCCTAGTGATTTCTAACTTGCTTTCCCGGCTTTTCTTTTCACATCTGCTGCACACACTTGAGCCCTATCAATTCAGATATAACAGTTTGTTATTTGTTATTTCCTTTGCTGTTAATGTTTGCGGACTCAGAGGGAATATTAAGATACATATTGACTGACGTAAGGTGACAAAATTAGCCACTTCCTCAGAATTAGCGGGCAACCCACAGTCTGTGCCATGCATGAAGCATGATGTTTACATTGCTGGGATGGCACTGCTGTCTTCCACCCTTCTAGCTTCTTCCGTTGAACACACTCTTGTTCCTTTGCCAGTAGCAAAAGCAGCCCCCAGATGCTGTGATCCCCCCCCCCCAAATTAAAGGCTTAACCAACTCCTGAGTGTCTGCTGATTACAAAAAAGGCATTCCTGTCTGAGAGAGAAGTGGCACAAGAAGCCAGATTGTTCAGCAAGGTGTAGTCATGAAACATGCAGGTTCTATGCTTTTCAACAACCGCCTTTGTTATATGAATTGCCTCCCTCATGGAGGGAGAGCACAGTTGCAGGTTGGCTAATTGCTACCTTACTCTTCCAGCTCTGAAATGCTGACCCTCCAAAACAAAGCAGCAAAGTTTGACAGAGAGGCAATTGGAAAGAAAGGGGACTTTCATATGACCTTTCTTAGGCCCACCTGGGGCTGCCTTTGCAAACTGTCCAGCATTTTCCACACTGGATTTTTGGAAGAGTAGATATCAGCCTACCTGTTATCTCTTATCCCCAAATCATCATCTTGCATGGAGAAGGCAGCTTGCATTTTGCAGGTAAGAAAAGGCACCTCCTTAATCTGTGCCAAGTGTGCACATGAATACAGAAGCACACAGAGACCAACAGTGGACTGCTTCCAATGTTATGGGGGTGGGCTGCAGGGGGGAGAAAGGAACATTTCATTGCACAAGTGGACATCTGCTGCAGTGGTAGAATGGCAGCGTTGGATGCGACCATATTTCTAGTGTTCATCTGTTGCCACTCAAAACACCAGAGTCTTGTGGAACTGCAAAGATTAAGAAATATTAGTTTTCAAGGTGCCACCTATACAGTGGTACCTCGGGTTACATACGCTTCAGGATACACACTCTGCTAACCTAGAAATAGTGCTTCAGGTTAATAACTTTGCTTCAGGATAAGAACAGAAATTGTGCTCTGGCGGCACGGCGGCAGCAGGAGGCCCTATTAGCTAAAGTGGTGCTTCAGGTTAAGAACAGTTTCAGGTTAAGTACGGACCTCCAGAATGAATTAAGTACTTAACCTGAGGTACCACTGTATAAGCAATTAACTTCCATCATTAGCTCCCAGGGACTGAACAACGAATCAGCAAAAACGTTGTGCTGAACGAACCTATCCTATGTAGTTTGAATTAAAAAGCTGCCCCCACCCCAAGAAGACCCTTACTTCTTGTAAAAGCAAGGAGTAAGGGTCAGTCAGTAAAGGGTTTGGATAGCAACATTTACTTGAGAACAGGTGAAAACATGAGCTCTGTCCCATGAGTAGACTGTGATGAGGCTATGAGTTGGTTGATTATTTATTTAAAATGCTACTCAATGCCCCAGCTCTCTCAGTCATAATTCCACAGGGGCATTCAATATAATATATGCAAGTGTGTGTGTGAAATAAAAAATCACACACATACACACTCTCTCACACAAACTGCCAAAACAGGGCCAAGCAAATTTAGAAGGAAAAAAAATCAGTTTTAACATCAACTTCCAAACAGTTTTTAGAAAGAGTACCAGTAAATCTGATCATGGAGTAGAAAACCTCAGCAAAAAACTACAAGCAGGGTTGCCTTCAGTGGGAAGAGAATTCCCACAAAGGAGCTAAGTGAGTCTGTCCCTTGTTTGTTGCTTTTGTCTTTTATAAGCAGGGATGGGCAAATTTCACTTCCTCTCAGTTTTCCATATTTTCGCGTCAGTCAGTTGTATTTTTTTAAATGTAAAAAAAGTCACCAAGACAATTTGCCTTCTCCTAATATACACATGTTTGCAAAGAATTTCCCCACAATAGAATGCATTTTGGTATATTATTTTCACTAATATATGCACCGAGATGCACACTTTCTCCTGAAATATGCATTTTTGTACACATTACGTGGCTGGAGAAGAACATTGCAAAATTCGGAGAAGTGTGAATTTCAACTGAAGACTCCATTTTAATCCTTTGGAAAGGACAAATTTGGAAGGTTCAGCCTTTAAATGCAAACTTAATTGAATTTCTTCCCCATCCCTATTGACAAGATAGGCTCTGTTACTATGTCTGGGAGAGTTCTGCATGATCCATGTCTGAAAGCTCTTTCCTCTGATGCTTTTGGAACCCTCACTAGCTTGATTCAGCACATCAAGCTGTTGTTCTGTTAACCCAGCTTCAAAAGCTAGCAGGAGTGCCAGCTCTGGCTCTCGAGTGCTTTCATTGCTGGAACACATTCAGTGGATCATTACTGGTGATGCCTGGGGTTGATGTGATGTTCCACAGGGCTTGGTTTTTATTAGTGATGTTGTTAATCAGGTAAATGAGGCCACAGGGAGAGATTAACCAGCTCTGGATTAAATACACAACAGGAAAACTACAGAAAGTAAACACACAGTGAAAAGTGCCATAACCAAGCACTCAGAAGTAGCTGTCTGATTCTGGACCAGTGTTGGGTGGCTATGGCTGCCTGGATTCAGGTAAAGATGCTAAAACTGAACCCAGGCAAAATAGGGAGCGATGCTAATAGCTCTGCAGAGGGTGAGCCTTCGTATAACAAATGAAGTGGTGATTTCCTTGTGCGGTCAAATTCGAACTCTGCTTTATTCCAGGATAGAAAGGTGTTCTGTTTACATGACACACCTCCCCACACAGCTAACTGAAGCTCCTCCCCTCTTACAGTTTGCTCCAACCCCTTTTAAAGAAGGGTGCTTCACAGGGTGGTTTGCTAAAATGCTCTGTGAAGTGCCTCTCTCCCCTCCGTTAAACAGCTCCCATGAGCCACTGGCCACCAGCACTGCCTCCTCACTCTCTGGCCTGCTGTTTGTCACACTGAAGAGGATGTGAATGTCTGTGGGTGACCCATACAAACTGAAGAGCATGCTGACATTCTTACATTTTTATGTAGATAGGAAAAAATAAAAATAAATACAATGGAATTAGATTAGCTGCCTCTGAACACAGTTTGGAAACTTCAGCTGGTGCAAATTTCAGTGGCCAAGTTGCTCACCAGGGCAAGACGGTTTGAACATATAATGCCAATCCTGGCCAGACCCAGCCCAAAGTGTTGGTTTCAACCGATGTAGCCTTAAACTGCTCAGGATGACAACACCTCAAGCACTGCCTCTCCCCATATGAACTAACCTGGACTCTGCAATCATGATCTGAGGCCTTTCTTTGTGTGCCTCCTCTATGAGAGGTCTGAAGGATGGCAACACAAGAACACCTTTAGGCACCAGGCAAAAACATTCCTCTCCTCTAAGGCCTTTGGCTAATTAAATAATCTATGGTCTTTTAAACTGTGTGTGGAGGGTGGGGGTATTGTTTTGCTTGTTATTATGTTATGTATTTTTGTGTTTTTATATTGTAAACCACCCCGTGATCCTCAGATGCAAGGCTGCATAGAAATTTAATAAGGAAGGAAGGAAGGAAGGAAGATTTGGCAACCCTAACGAATACAGGTGATTGTACGCTACAGATATTACCAGCTGGGGATGCTTTGATGAGGTGGAGTAGACCACTCCCTCCTCCTCTGGATGGAGGTGAAGCCACCTGTAAATAGGAAAACAATAGAAAAGGGGCTGATTTGGAAAGAGACACAGACTTGCCTTGCTCTCTGTGCTGAATCCAAAGCTAAGGCTTTGTAGATTCCCCTATCAAACCTAAATGTGAGAGCAAGTTCTGTTGTAGCGCTAATGCTGTGAGCCCGTCTATCCTGCACATATGTGTAAATATCACAAAGACACCACAACCTCCAGAGATCTTCAATCCAAGGAAACCAACACAGTGGTATGTGCTGACTGGCACACCTAAAATCTTTCACACTTGCAGCCTGGGATGTGCATAACACTGTGATACTTGATTATACATTCATTTTACACTTGTCCTCATCAAAATCCCTACATGGTAATGTTTAGTTCAAAAGATATGCCTGATTAATGATCTAAAGGATTCAGGCTGTTCATCATGCAATCTTATGTTTTTCTTATCTCCCAGCATCTGGAATCTGTCCTGGAAGCCAGCACCAACCATTTCTTCTTCTTCCTGAGCAATTCATTACAGAAAGACATAATTTACTAAGGAAGAAGAGATATTTGGTTTGGAGAAGTTACTCACTGTTTACAGTTTAGCTATGCAAATAGTCAAAAGATAAGGTGGCTGGAAGATTTTTCGTCTGGAGACTGGTTTAAAATAAGTAGAAAGTGTATTATTTAGAGAAAATGCTTTCTTGCCAAGTCCGATAGCTTGTGAAATGTAATAGATCCTTGAAAGTGTTTCAGGAGAGAATCCCAGGTCAGGTTTCTTAAGAAGATATATATAGGCTTGTACAGTGGTGGAGCTTCATGCTCTGGCACCGGGGGCAGAGAGCAGGTGGGGACGGGGCTGGTGCATGTCTTGGGGGTGTGGTGCGCCGCCCACGGGGGCGTGGCATGTGTCCTGGGGGCGGGGCGCGCCGCCTGTGGGGGCAGGGGGGCAGCCGTGATGGCACCCTGGGGATCGCGCTGCCGGAGGCTGTGTGCACTCCTCTTCTTCCGCCAGTGGGCTTGTATCTAATTATGTTATTGTGTGAGTGGAACAACTTCCCTTTGGGGTCCACTCCCACCCTACCATTCTATGAGCCTATGATTGACCAGTCCAGGGCTGCAGGCCTGTGGTCCTCCAGATATTGTTGGATTCCAGTTTCCACCAGCCACAACTAGCATAGCCAATGATCAGGAATGATGAGAGTTAGAATCTAAAAACATTTGGAAAGCTAATGTTCATCACTACTAGGGCTGCACACCGCTCCCCGAGCTGCCCAGTCAGGACAACACACCCTAGAAAAATCTGGAGACTACCTATTCCATCAAGGATCTCTTCCCAAATTAGTTTGGTGTCAGGGCTAATGTTTTATATGGGGTTTTTAAACACATAGTTGTGAGAGGGGTGGGGGAAGGAGATGCTGCCCCACCCAGGATCAACAGCAAAGCAGGTGTATCCTGCAGGGTGCTCCTTAAGAAACACCCTGTGTCATGCAGGATTGATGCCTCCACTCAACAGCCATTGTGTGGAGGCATTTATCCTATGAGGTTCTGTATGGGCTATCAGGCAGGAAGGAGAGTCAGGTTGGTGGCGAGCTCCTAGCTTCTTCTGAGAAGACACAGCTGGTGCTCAGGGAGCTGTCCAGCAGGGAAAGAAGAAGGTTCTATCACAAGTCTGCTGAGGCAGCATGGGGGCTACTCCACAAGGAGGTAAAAGGTAAAGGACCCCTGGACGGTTAAGTCCAGTCAAAGGCGACTACGGGGTTGCGGCACTCATCTCACTTTCAGGCCAAGGGAGCAGGTGTTTGTCCACAGACAGCTTTCCAGGTCATGTGGCCAGAATGACTAAACTGCTTCTGGCACAACGGAACACCATGACGGAAACCAGAGCGCACAGAAATGCCATTTACCTTCCCACTGCAGCAGTACTAGTTATCTACTCGCACTGGCATGCTTTGAACTGCTAGGTTGGTGGAAGCTGGGACAGAGCAAAGGATTTGAACCGCCGACCTTCTGATTAGCAAGCCCAAGAGGTTCAGTGGTTTGGACCCCA